GAGGGGCGGGCAGGCAGGCAGCGCGCCTGGGCGTGCGTGGCGGCGTGGGACAGCACGGCCGAGGAGAAAAGAAAGCCTGCGCCTGACCCTGCCTCTACCATGCTCCTCCCAAGCGTTCATACACCCAAACAAACACATGCACACAAGCAGCATGCATGCCCCGCCACTGCCCCAGGCCCCGCCCCTCCACCACACGTACCTTGTGCACTTGTTCCACCGTCAGGTTGACCACCGCATACAGCAGCTGCGGGTGCGCCTCCACCATGTGGTCACCCAGCGCCTGCTGCACGCTGTGGGGAGGCAGGGGCAGAGGCGGGGCGCTGGGTAGGGCTGACGGGGCACAGCGGAGGAAGCACGGCGGAGGCGGGGCGCTGAGGGGCGTGGAAGAGGCACAGCCGAGCACGGCGGAGGAGCGAAGGTGAGGCGGGCGGGCTTGGCCGCAGCACGGCAGCGCCCCCGGTCGCCGGCAATGCATGCACACGGCGAGGTGGGTGGGAGCGGTGCATGCAAGTGTGAGGAGGCAGGGCAGGGGGCGTGTGCTCTTGTGCTGGTGGGCGGGTAGCAACACAGGGCAGCTTGGCGGCGTGGCCTGGCCGCGGCAGCTGCGGCAGCACGGCAGCATGGAAGCCAGCCCCCAGCGGCGCTTGGTTGGATGCATGATGAGCGGCGCACCTCATGTCCAGCGCAAACCCATCCACCACCTCCCCATCGTCCTGCTGCACGCCGTGCAGCGCCACCGTTTGCTGCGCAGGCTCGGTGTTGCGGAACAGGCGGCAGCACAGGTCCACCCGCTGCTCAAAGGGCATGGCCAGCAGCCGGATGGATGCCGCGCCGCCGGATGCGTCCGCGGCCGGCGCCAGCTGCCCCGCGGCTGCCGCGGCGGGCGACTGCTGCTGCCGCGCGTCGCCGGCCGCGCCCAGGCTGCCTGCCGCCGCCGCCTGCTGCAGCACCTGGACGGCAGAGTCTTTCTGCTGCGTCACAGCCACCAGCAGGGAGCTGGTGAGCTGCAGGGAGGCGTTGGCCGCACGCTCCCGTTCGAGGTCGGCCGCCGCCGCCTCCACACGCTGCTCCATCTCCGCTTTGCGCTCCTGAGGGCAGCAGGCGGCGGGGCAGGCACCGCAGCCAGGCAGCGCAGCGAGGCAGGTGGGGATGGAACCAGGCCAGGACAGAGCAGCGCCAAAGCCGGAAGCAGAGAGTTGAAAAGAATGGACTGGGAGGCGGGGGGTGGGCCTGTGGTAGAGAGCGGGGAAGGGGCGGTAGGCTTTGGCCTGGCGGCTGAGCCTGGCAGCAGGCGCACACCTTCTGCCTGGCGCGGAACCGCTGCTGCTTCTCGCGGTTGGCCGCACGCAGCCGCTCCTGCTTCTGCTCCTCCGTGCTAGATGCCGGCTGCAGCAGGTTGCTGCCGCCGTCTGTGAGGCTGCCGCTGCCGCCGCCGCCCAACCCGCCGCCCGCGGCGGTGGCTGGCGGCGGCAGCTGCAGGCCGAGCAGGTCGAGGTTCAGTTCATCCTGCAGCGGTCCCGGGTCCAGCGCCGGGCCCATCAAGCCAAAGTCTGCTGGCAGCCAGACACCGGTCTCTGGAAGCGGCGGCCCTTCTGAGCCGGATGATTGCATATTAGTGTCTGGCGGCTGGTGGAAAGGCGGGAAGCGTCGAATCGAGTTTGTGAGGGCCCGCCGGGCCTTCCTGCTGGGCCTGCTGGGAGGGCTGGAGGTGGGTGGCAGCTGCCCGACACCACTTCCACTCCATCCTCTCCTGCCACAACGGGGAACTAACACGCCCAACAAACTGAGGACGAGTGGGGCTCGAGGCCTCTTGTCCCCTCCAGCGCCATGTGGGCGCCATGCTGTGCAGACCTCTCCACCCTCTCCCCACCACTGGCAGCCAGCCTTCACTTTCCCCGCAGATGTGCCGACAAGGAGAGCCCCAGCACAAGACCTGCCTGCCATTGCCCCAACCTGTCAGCAGCTGTGGAGAACGAGCTTACACGCAGGTGATCAGAACAGAATGCATGCAGAGAGAAAGGGTTCTCTAAGTGAGGTGCTTGTGTGGGCTTACAGTCTGGTTTCAGCAAGAACAAGCTTGCAGCACAGACTTTGTTGTTCGAGCAAGGAGGGATGAAGCAGTAGAACAACAGGCAGGACAGGCCAACTGACAGGTCACCGAGCGTTTAGTGTGTGAGCGGGCAGGCAGTACTGCATGTCGTGGAGCAGGTGTGGTGCGGTAAGAGCAAAGGGGGTGGACATGAGAGTGGGGGTTCAGGGCGGGACTGCAGGTAGCGCAACGGTGGCGGTCAGCCAGCGCTGGTGACAGGCGGCAGCAAAGGCGGCGAGGCGGCACGGTTTCTGGTGGAGGAAGCGGTGGGGAGGATGGGGCTCAGCAAACAGGTCAGGAAAGTTGAGGCGCAGCGGGGCGTAAAGGGGGCAGGTGAGCAGCATGTGGGGGGCATCTTCAATGCCGTCGTGGCAGTGGGGGCAGACTCGCTGCTCTCGGGGGCGCCGCGTCCAGCGGCCGGTCTCTTCCGCGCCCCAATGCGACCCGGTGCGCAGCTGCGCCAGCGCCTCGCGGTCCTGCCGACGCCGTACTGCATCCCTGTGTTACAGTCACCCCGCTATGATAGGCCGCGTGAGCAGACCTTGGGCAGGGGGCACACGTGATCAAGGGGCATCAAGAGAGGGGGTGGACCATGGAGCACCCTCTCCATGGCTCCGACCACCCTCCCCCCAGCTGAGCGTCCCAGGGTCACCCCACCCTGGCCCCGCTCCCCGTCCTGCCGGACACGCAACCCCCACAACGTGGTGGGGGACGTGGGGATCCTTAGCAGCTTAGGCCTGCCAGGCCGACGGGTGAAAGGTAAAGGTGGGGAAGAGCCTCCACAGGCTTAACTTCCCGGTTTAACGTCTAGCTTTAGACCATTAGTTGATCTGCCTGACGCGCCAAGTGCAGTACCCCCCACTAGTAGTGAATGGGTCCCGGGGAGGCCTGTGCCGAAGCCTTGGCGATTCTATTAGGCGTTCCCGAAGGAATTGGCATGGATTGGCGCTGAGCCGGTCAGCTATGCCGCGTTTGTCCTCACAAAGTTTCGACATGGGAGGAATCGAACCTGTGCCCTCTCGGAGGGTTTAGACACTAGCTCTAGCGCCTTCAAAGAAGGCCTTTCTTAGCCGCGGGTGAAGCATCCAGGTAGGTCTCGCGCTGCCCAAACATGGCGGGCGCCAGGTTGAGGGCGCCCACCACGTTGTGCACATAGTGCTCCAGCCGGCTGGCGCCGCCCTTCGCCAGCGCCTCCTGGAGCTGCGCCAGCTGGCGGCGCTGCGCAGCTTCCCCCAGCTCGCCGAGGTCAACAGGTGCTGGCTGCTGCAGGTCCAGCTGCATGCCGACCGCTGCGATACCGGCCGCCAGCTGGGCAGCCCAGGACTGCTGTGCCAGGGGGTGGGCGCCATCTGCGAGCTGCACGCTGGACAACAGCGCTTGCTGCAACAGGCTGCCGGGACGCTCCTCCAGCGTCTTGTGTCTCAACAGAGGCCCCCTGCAGTGCAGGCTCGGGAGCGGGTCAGTCGACTCTACTTGCAATCCTGCAAGCCAGCAGCAGGCAGGGCAGACGTAGGGGTTCAGAAAGAACGTGGCTGTTCTTGCACGCGATTTGTGCGCAGGGGGTGCAAGCACAACTAAGGACATACAGGGGAGCAGGCCGGCAGCAGCTGCACTCCAGCCGTTGGCCTGGGCGTTCTTGGGGAAGCACTTGCACATGCACTTGCCGCGGCCGGTCTCCTTCCACGTGCAGTTGCTGCAGGGCACCGGCAGGCTCCACAGGTCGACCACAGTCCCAAGTAACTGTTGTGCTTTGCTCGCCTTGCTCCACCCCTGTTTTATTGCTTTCTCTGCTTTCGCCCGGTTCCCGTCCCGTTTCGGCGGGGAGTCTATGTTGCAAGCTAGTTCTTGCTTTACCAGACTTTAAGCCCACACAAGCTCTCCCCCCCGTAACCCGCAGATGCTTGCGCTTTTGCGCTTGCCCCGTCCTCCCCTTGCCCGGTCTTCCCGCGTGCCGCCTTCACCTTTGCGGCCCCCGCCCGCCCGCCTGGCCGCTCTCCCAGCTACTGTGCCGGGGTGGGTGGGCCCGCTTTCTGGTGGTGGTGGTGTGCGGGTCCTCGACCTGCCCCTCCCCCCCACTGGTATGCTTGCCGCCCTTGGGCTGGCCATCAGGCGCCCCTCGCCTCCCTCCCCGCCCTTTGCGCCCGACCGCTCCCTGAGCCCGCCCTTTGCCGCCCGGGCGGTATTGCATGCTTTCATACAGTCCAGAGCTAGTGGGCACGGCTTGTGTGCCCCCAGCCCATTAATGGGCATTGCCTCTGTAACATCACAGATCACAGGTCACAGATTTTTGCTCCTCGGATGCCATCGAGCGCAGGATGCCGTCCGCCTTGTCCAGTACCGCCTCGTTGAGTTCCCACCTCTGGCGATGCCAGTTGAGAGATGGCGTTAGCCAGACTCCCAGGTACCGGTAGGGCTCATCATTGGGGTGGAGAAAGGGTACCGCCTGGTTGCTGATTCTCACTTGGCCGTACAACCTTTGCCGCAGCACTTGTACTGCGTTTTTGGACAACGGTGCCCCGTTGACCTGCCGGCTGGCTGTGGCGCCATACAGCATGCCGGTGACGCCACATTTGGCGTGGTTAACCACCATTCCAGACCATTGCAGGAACCTGGTAATCTTGTCGGCCTGGTGCTTCAAGTGGAGCAGGCTATTGGTCATGATGAGCAGATCGTCTGCAAAGGCAGGTGCGCTGCAGGCCTCGGCTGTGGCCTCATCGGGGCGTGAACAACCGTGTTTGTATCCCCTGCCGCCAGAGTGCAGCCAGCGCAACAGGGGTTCGATGAATAGTAGGAACAGAAATGGGGACAGGGAGTCCCCTTGCAGGGTGCCGCGATCAATATCAATCGGGTCTGAGTCTCCAAAAGCTGTCGTGATCATAGTGCGGGCCCCGGTGTACAGCTTTTGCACGGCGAGTACAGCGTGGTGGGGAAAGCCCATGTCCCACATTAGTTGCAGGTCCAGGTGTTACAGTCACCCCGCTATGATAGGCCGCGTGAGCAGACCTTGGGCAGGGGGCACACGTGATCAAGGGGCATCAAGAGAGGGGGTGGACCATGGAGCACCCTCTCCATGGCTCCGACCACCCTCCCCCCAGCTGAGCGTCCCAGGGTCACCCCACCCTGGCCCCGCTCCCCGTCCTGCCGGACACGCAACCCCCACAACGTGGTGGGGGACGTGGGGATCCTTAGCAGCTTAGGCCTGCCAGGCCGACGGGTGCCGATGCTGGTGCGGGCTCCCGGCGGCAGGCAGCGCCGCCGCCGGGCACTCAAATGGCATGGGGCACATGGGCCCCCATGCCCGCACATCTCCCAGGCACATGAAAATACCAGAAGGCTGCACATGTAAGGGTGCATGCATTGCAGGCAGGAGTGCAAAGTGGCCTGCCGCGGCGGTCGGCTGTGCCATTACTCAGTCAGCCGCCGCTACCGTGCCGGGCTTGGCGTTCCCATGCCAACATGCCGGCGTGCCATCGCGCAAGGGCCAGTGAGTGTGTGAGGTGGAGGTGGGGGTGGTGGGGCTGCCGCTGACCGCTGCTTGCTGACGCTGACGCTGCTCTTACCTCCGGGGGGAGGGGGTGGGTCGGGAGCCAAGGCCGGGCAAAAGATGCCTGG